TACACCTTGAACTGCACAGTATAAGAGCTCATGGAATGATAGGGTGTGGTACATGTAAGGGGGAAAAAAACCCTTCCCCTTTTTCGTTTCTAGGTCTTGTCAAAACTTGCTATTCCCAGCTGCAGAAAAGAACATCTGTCATTCCCAAACCGCAAAAACACCCAGCCCTGCAGGCTTATAGAAACACCCAATTTTTTAAGAATAAAATTCAGTTTATTGGTCTAGTGACACGTGTGCATTTCATCATTAACTCTCACAAACAGAGAACTACTGTAAACTGGGCAGAGTTGCAGAAAACAGGTTTATATCTGCATCAAGCAAAAAAGTTTAGTAATCTGGATCTCTCAGCCTAACCCACTTCATAAGCTTGTTGTTAAGGATAAGACAAGCACTCTAGCTACAACTTCATTCATAAATCATGCTAGGCCTTAGTTTGCTTTAGCAATGGTTGATTTATACATAACGTTGCCAACTGCATATATGTGTCAAATTGTGTCACCAAGAGCCAAATCTGGATGAAAAGAAACATTACCTTTTAAGCCATAAAGCCTCGAGTTTATAAACCAGAGTGCCTGGCTTGCTACATTAAGCTAAACCAAAAGTAAACAAAAGCATAAACTAGGAACCCAGCCAGTAGATTCTGCCTTAAGCAATGGAGGGAAGCGGAGGTATATACATAGCAGGTGCTCGGAACCCTTAGATTAATAAAGGGAAATGCACGCTTTTCAGTAGTTCTCAGGAAGCTCAATTTCTCAACAGTTATAAATCGATGGCTTTGGTCAAAATAAAATTAATTGGATTAAGACCCAGATTCCTGCTTGATACTTCTTGCTCTCATCTAGAAATCATTGCTTCAGCTAATTATTAATGAAGGTAATGAAGGTTGTGAGACTGACAGCCAGTCAGTCGGGCAGACGTGGCAGAGCAAATGCTAAGCCCATCATGGAAAGAGGCAACTTGTCTGGTCCTCTGATAGGAGAGGCAAAGGAAGGATTCCTCCCATCCAGAAATGCTTTTTAGGCAAGAACGGGAATGAAGCACACAAGTATGAATACATAAACACCCTTGCCCATGGAATATCTGGAGGGGGGGAGGTAGGGAAGCACCAGTCCACCAGATGTTGAGGAACCAATTCTCAGCACATCACACTATTGATCTTGCTGTTGAAACAACTGGAAATTAGAATTCAGCAACATCCTGAAGGCTTCAGAATCCTCTCTCATCTATATAACGTTTCAGATAATTTACCAAGTAGGATTGGCAATAAAACGTTACAGTTTGGAATGCTCCAACCAACCCTTTTCTGATTTGCCATCTTTTTTTTTCTGCCAGAGTGCACAATTTTGTCTCCACCCCAACCTGTCAGTTCAGTTGTTGGTTCTTTTTTTATTGCATAATGATTCATACTCTGAACATGGATGCAAATAATATTTATATATTGAAATTTTAGTCAGTCATTTATTAATAAACATGCAGAATCACACTTTGTCACCCTCAAAATTTCAGTCTGGTCTTACATTATACTTCACCTCTCAGTAAGATTTGAGATTGCAAGATATTGCAAGTACAACAATTGTACATACAATTTTCCAGTTATGACACTGCCATTATTTGGTTGGTTGGTTGGTTGGTTGGTTGGACTTTGTTAGTACAATATGCTATATGAACACAGACACTGAAATTTGTTAACTGCAGTTATGATTTAGCATGTTAAGTAAACCAAGCGGTGATTTATTCAACAAACCATAGTCAAACAATGATGGATTCGCTTAGGGCAATACATGAACCAGGTCTATAAAAGACCATATACAAAAATATTCAAGAGATTGCAGGCACAAACAAATGAATGTTAACACCTGCACCATTTCACACATTCATATTACCATTTCCCCCCAAAAACAATTGAAATTCCAGATGTCATTTATAATACGTTATGAACTACAGGTTGGCCCCCTTGCCAAATAAGAGCAAAATTAGTGCTTTTTTTCATTCTGTACAGTAAAACAAAATGAACAGCAAATGTCCTCTTTTCACTGAGTCAGCTGAGATGAAATACTATTTTTCTCCACCTCCTCCTTTGGGTAAAGAATAACTAATTTAACATTCCCTGGAGGAAAACCTGCTTGTTTTCCACATTCCTTCTCATTCTTTTCAAATTACATCATCTACCAAAGATCACACCTCATACAACTGCCTAAATTTCCCCAGGCAGTGGTGGAGGGATGTTAGTTTGGGGGCTCTAGCATGGGGTGTGTGCATTTAGTGGTTTTTGGTTCTACTGAACCTTGATTCAGTTTCAGATGGTCTTTGCTTTTATGCAATTCTCTGCTTTTGTTTGTTGTGCAGATTTCTTGGGTAAGTGGATGGCTACATATATTATAGTAACAATAATAGTGTAGACCCAATAATTTGATACCCTACATTCCTGTAGCTGCAAACAAAAAATAGGTTCACAGACTATTCTAAACCATGTACCACAACGGCTCAGAGTAATGCTGTACACATTTAGCCCCTGCAAACCACAATGGCTATATGTTCATGATTTGTGCCAAATATCGAACAAACCATATAACTGAGTCAGTGGTTTGTGTGAACCACGCCCTGAAATCTTAAAAATTTATCTCTATATGGTATTTTGAAAATGCTGGAGTTTTCACGAGCTTATACATGCAAGTACCTCTTCTGTCATACATAAACATGGCATCGACGTTCACAAAGATTACATTATGCATTTTGAAAAACAGATTATTCCAGATGAGTCCACCTCAGCAGATGGTAACAGGAGACCCTTGGGAATTCTTAGCTGCAATTCACCAGGCAATGGATAAAAGGCAATACGTAATTGGTTACTTCAGTGTCACCCAGATGCAATGGCTTTAGGTAAATAAGAAATAAACAGCATCAATTCCCATTAAAACAGATTCAGAGCAGACATAAAGTCCATCTGGAACCCAAACCAGGTAACAAAAAGGTAAGCAGATCACTGGAAGAAAAGACTTCACCATAATTTCAGCGGTACCTCCAGTTACTTGGCTTCTTCCAGTTAAGTGCTTTTTAGGACTTGTATAAAAAGCAGAAATTCTATAGGGGACACTTCGAAGGAGGCAAATTTTAGGGTGGGTGTCTCAGTTCTGGAAAAACGCTCGCGCGCGCGCGCGCGCACACACACACACACGGCTCTCCAAGCGTGTCAAGCGGCAACAACTCCGAAGAGCAGCCCACAGTCATAGGCAGATATCGCGGGTTGCGATCTATGAAGCCTTCAGTCAGGAATTTAATTTCTCCTTCAAGGGCTGGGTGGCAGGCTGGCAGGGCAGCAGAGCCAAGCCGACGAGCGGCTGCCTCTCCCGCCCAATATAGCTCAACAGGGCCCCGCCTGTCTGTGTCCAGACAGGGCAGCACAAAGTGACTCACGTCACGCTCGTTCAGCCAGGCGCGCACAGGGCGCAACATTAGGCAAGGGACCAGGGACGCACTCGGCCTCGCCCGAAGGCCCCGAGCAGAACCGGAAAAGAAAAACCGGCCGGCCGAAGTTTTTCAACAGCTTCGAAGGTCGCTTCAACGTTGTCCTTAAACTGCCCGCCGCGCAGACTTCTCCCCTGCCTCACGGGGACCCTGCAATTGCCCGTTCCGAAGACTCCAGGACTCTAGGAAGGGCGGTGGTGCGAACGCCCGCCGCGCAACACATTCCCCCCCCCCACCACACCTCCTTTCACCAATCCGACACTTTTCGAGATATGCTGGATTGCAACTGCCGTGTGTAGTTGGAAACGCAATCCAGCCGGAAAGGAACCGGGCTGGCCCCGTCGGTTTGCTGGTAAATCCCATGGAAAGCATCCCGGAGACGCCTGTATTCAAATTGAAACCGGTCGAGAAGGGGGGGGGGACGAACTGATCGACACACAGCGAGGGGGGAGGGAAGGGAGAACCCGAAATACGGGGAACTCTCCAGGCGTGCGGGGGAGGCTGTGGGAGGAACCGCTCTCCGCGCCCATTCCCGGCTTTCTGCTTCGCTCCGGCCCGTTGCGCTTCTCCTTCCTCTAGTTTACATACCCCCATCCCCTCCGCCGCTTCCAGCCCCGCCCTCTTAATCCTGCCCTCGGTAAACGTCCCCTTCTCTCGCGCTTGGGCGTTTCCCGCTCGGCTCCGGAGTTTTCAAAGGCCCAACCAAGCCCCGCGGCCCTCATGGTAAACAAAATTTGACAAGAGCTTGGAAGTTCCGGGTGGAAGAAAAGCAAACCCCTCTTTCCCCCTCAGTTCCCCTGCTCCACGCGGCGGGGAGCTTCCCCAGGAGCGGCTCCTGACCAAAAAGCACGCCCGGCGCAGCTGCTTCTACCGTAGCTTCGGGTTTTGTTTTTTTTCCCACCTTAAGGGAAAACCTTTTTATTATTATTATTTTTGGAGAAGGAAGCAAAAACGCCAAATGTTCCACTGAGGGCATCCCTAAATGAGATTCTTCTCTCTGGGCGCCTGGAAGAAACTTTCCCGCCTCCCCTTGTTGCCGACGAAGCAGAAAGGGGCCGCGCGGCCAAAAAAGCCGCTCCTGAACAACAGCTTTGGACCTCGCGATTTTCGGTGGGGGGGGGGAAAGAGAAAGGGTCTCTGTGTGGGACAGCAAATGGCTGTCTTAACGCGAGGGGTTCGCGTCACTTTGCTTTTTTAACCGCTTCCTCCTCGGTTATTACCTGAGAAGCCCCGCAGCTGGAAGACGTAACTGGGGGGGGGGGATACACACATACATAAATAAAAACGACCTTTTTAGGACCCAGATTTTTTTGGGGGGGAGAGCAATATGCTGACTCTGTAAAGTGTAAACCGTCTCAGAGAAGGCTGCAAAGAAGCACTCTTGAGGCGGTGTATAAAGACTTTAGTGCCATTGCTATTTCCATGCGCTAAGGGTAAAGAAGCGCCACCGCCCTCCTCCCCGAGGGGAGCGAAAACCCACCCGGTCCCCCCCCCCCCCCCCCCCCCCNCCCCCCCCCTCTCCGTTCCCCTCTTACTATTTCTATGACGAATAACATTCCCCTTCGGGAGCGGACGAAGCTGGAAAATTGTTCCATGCACCCCTTGGAGGAATTGGACGACTCCATGGCAACGGCGGGATGCCCCTCTTTCGAAGGGGGGAAACGTCGACTTGCTCTCCCTTTGCCGCCCGACTGCTCTGCAAAGCAGCCTCCCGTCAGGCGCGGATTCGCGGAGCTGGGCGAGCGAGGGCGGGGAAGCCTGTGGGCGAGGTGTGGCTGCCGAGCTGGGCACGGCTCGGGTGGTTCTTAACAGTCGCTGTTCCTTTAAGGGCAGCCGGGAGACGGGAAGGCGGGCTGGCACTCAGCAGTGGGGGGGGGGGGGGGGAAAGCAACCGAGGCAGGAAGGAGGCGGTGGGCGCGGAGTTGCTGGAAGGACCGCCATTCCCTTCGAAAGCGGCGGTTTCTGCGGCCTCCTCTGGACTGCAGCGGGCCTCCCTTTCGGAGGACAGGTGGTCCTTGACTTACGACCCCAATTGAACCCAAAATTTCTGTGGCTAAGTGAAACATCTGTTAAGTGAATTTTGCCCCATTTTTACGGCCTTTCCTGTTGTTAAGTGAATCATTGCAGTTCCTAAGTTAGGAACACGGTGGTTATGTGAATCTGGTTTTCTCCGTTGACTGCTTGTCAGAAGTTTGCAGGAACTGATGACGTGACCCCGGGACACTGCAAATGTCATAAATATGAGCCAGTTGCCCAGCGTCTGAATTTTGATCACGTGCCCACTGGGATGTTGCAATAGTCGTAAGTGTGAAAAAGGGTCATAAGTCACTTTTTTAGTGTCGTAACTTTGAACAGTCATTAAATGAACTGTTGTAAGTCGAGGACTACCTGTACAGTTGAGAGCTAGCTGCGAAGTCCCAATTTTTTTTGTAGGTGTATTTACTTCCCTTGAGAGACCACTCCACATCCGATCCGCTTCCCACCACAGGCACAGGTTAACTGCACATGCAGATGGAACGTCTAACACAGGGGTGTCAAACTGCTGGCCCGCAGGCCGGACGTGTCACGCAGAAGGCGCGCCCACCCCATTGCCGGCAATGGCACAACAGTCCCGATACGTTGCGCAACGTCACATGACATCGCGAGTTTGACATGTCTGGTCCAACAGGTGTATTACTCAACACCTGCTTTTAATCCCACAAAAAAGAGAGTATCTAACCATGTGCAATTTATGTTGCTAACTTTTTTCTCCAGGCCGGACGTCTATGCATTTAACCAAGTGGTAAGCTGAAATTCCACAGATGCTGCCCCAGTTTAAGGGATGCACATTGGCCAAGGTATCTCCAGCCTTCCCCTGACCAGCTAACTATTTACTTGTCGTCCTTATGTCCATGATGCCATACACGAGACTTTCTCTTCCCTTTCATTCCAGCATCTTTTCTTTTGCTTTCTGTAAATTCCGTGAAGAAATTGGGATTTGTCTTTACAGCAGTCCTGTCAAGCATTTTGATTTCTACCAAGTTTTGGGAAGGCAGTGAGACAGAAATTCTGCTAACATAAAATTTTACTGGTATGTGGAAGCCTTTTGCATTTTGTGTGTGCGTGCATGCATATTCAAACTGAACCATACCATTGACCAAAACTTGTTAACTTGAGTTTAACTTTGGAGACCCTCCTCCATATGAAAGATAACTGAGTGGGGCTGTGATTGGTGGCACTGCCTGTGTTTTCAGTTTTAATACCTGAGATTGCCAGGTAGGGCGGAATGAAAATCTACTCTGGAAGTTGCTGTTGATCACTAGTGGTGAAATTGGCCTGACTTTATATTTGCACAGTATGGCTTGTTTGTGGCTTGGGATGCTGTTTGAATCATGTCTTGGACCTGTGTCATACAGTGGCTTAGTCAAATAAGTCAAATATTCAGCAACTCATGAGTTATTACGTTGGGAAAGCAGACCTTGTAAGACACTTCTGAATCTTCCTATGATCACTGCTGTGGTGTGGGGGAGGAATCCCAGAGAGAAAATTAGCTGTGTTTTTTTTAACTTTAGCTATTGACAGAGTTGGACTTAGTCATTAACTAAACAAGCTACAGCTTAAGGACTCAGACTGAAAGAGTCTTTAGAATGTCTGTTTTTTCTTTCTCATCTGCTATGATTTTATCCATAAAAGTCTCCCTGAATGAAGCCTTTCTGTGCGTCTCATACAGCTCTTATGAATTAAGACAAGCTTTGTTTCTGTGCGCATTCACACCTTCTGTTCAGAGTGGGCCCTTCTCCATCCTATCATGGGTTTGTAATACATTTTGATGGCCTTCCTGCCAACTTCAGCCAACAGAATTCTCTATTAGCTCTTGCTTCTACAAAACCCTCTCATGGCTTAAAGCCTCACTGTGTTAACTGATCCTTCTGTCCTGGCAGTTTCCTCTGCTTATCTAATTAATTTCATGTTTATTCCTATTTCAAACAATGGCCAATACAGGATAACAAGATAAAAGGTTCTTTGATAATTTCATTTTACTAGCAGCAAAATTGAAATGATTTACCATTGCTTTTGTATGAATTGTTTTCTACTTTGCAGCCTAGCCTAAGCTATCCTAGACCTGGAACTACTTGGTAGCATCCCACCCCAATAATATCCACAATATGCCCAATAATATTCACATCTAGCTTTGTTTTACTTTCTGAGATCTGTCAAGATCAACTAGATGTGGCTACCCGCATTAAAAAGATGAGAACAAATTTGGGGAAAAATAAGAAAGCAACTATCACTTCAAGCTATGGTCAGAGAAGGAAAATCATGGTCAGAAATCCTGTTTTCTTGATACTCCCTGAATGATCTTGGACTAATTGTTACTACTCAGCCTAGTTGGCAGATAGTAACAAAGTTAATCTGTTGCCACAAAATGTCAGTCTGCATTTGTGAAAGTTTTCCTGCATCCCAATACAGTACAGTGTTGTTAGGGAAAGTCTGAACTGTCAGCTGCTCCCTAGGAATCAGATAATGTAAGCTACTGATAATGCTGAGTTTGCTCCTTAAAAGAGAAAGAACCTAAATTACATTTGGAAAATCTACATGTAAGGAATGGATAATATGGGATATTTACAAAATACAATTTAAAATAGATCCACATTGTGTATTCTTTAGGATATCGATAAATTACATTTTCCAGATCTCACTTTTGGCCATGCCAGCTGGGGCTGATGGGATTTTTGCTTCAACAACATCCAGCAGGCAATATATCATGGAAAATGTAAGAAGAAGGAAAATTGATTCAGTGCAAGTAAATCAAGAAAAAGACAGCCATGTTTGGGACTGAGATATGGGAATTTGGTTACTTGAAGACTTCCCCTCCGTTTGACCGACTGGAAAGAGGGAGAACTCTATTAAAAGCAGGGGTGTCCAACCTTGGCAACTGTTAAGATTTGTGGACTTCAACTCCCAGAATTCCCCAATCAGCCATGCTGTCGGGGGAATTCTGGGAGTTGAAGTCCAGGAATCTTAAAGTTGCCAAGGTAGAACATCCCTCATTTAAAGCGTCTCCACAAAAGTGGAACTTCTTTGAGTCTGGCTGTCAATTCTATATGCTCCTTCCTAGAAACCTCACTACACTACGTTTGGCTGAAAGCTTTTGAAAAGTGTTATTGCTGCCCAAAGGTCCAAGTTCCCAGTGCTCGGATGCCACCCTATACAGGAGGGATTGGCAGCGACTTCTATCTTGGCTCTCCTCTCTAACAGCTCTTCCTCCACCCCACCCTGCCTTTCCTCTGCTTGCCTGCAGCACCATTCTCCCTGGTCTGTTTCCTTTGCCCTATCACAGCAAGGTGTTGGTTTTTTTTTAAACCAACCATCTGAATTTTTTTTTGGGAAAGTAAACATTATTTGAGAAATTACCAATGTTTGATAGGATGCATATATTGACATACAGTAACTCAAAAGTTTAGGAAAGCAGAGTGGATGTAACATGATCATATGTAGGTTTTTTGTAGTGTGCTATGGTTGTCAATATTATAATTAGCTACTATAACAGTACCTTTGGCAACTGCCTGTTGGCAGATACTGATGTTATTTGACGATGGGAGGATATATTTTTCTAGGTGTCAGGTTCTTGCTGTTTAATATAGATAACGGGCCTTGATCGAGACTTCTGCCTGGCGGTATTTAAAATCCAGTTTGACAATTGGCTTCTTAACTTTCTGTCCTCAGACTGCAAACTGAAAGCAGTATGCGGCTTCTGAAAAGACGGTTTTTGCATCACCCATTTGTGAAGGTTGTGCAAGTTTCCTTGGAAGGAGATTGTGCAGGACAGCAGCATTGAATAAAGCTTCTCCACTGAATCCTAGGATCCAGGAAAACCCTAACTCGGAGCCTTGCCTCTGTTCAGCCTTTGCTCCTCAAGTTGCAGCTAGGAAGAAGGACTGCTACGCCACACAGAATTAAGTGTCTTTTTAAAAGTGATTTGATTTCAGTATTAGATTGCAGCCAGTTTGACTAATTGTCTGTGGCAGAAGCAAAACAAACACTAGTTTGTCAGCTTGTAATTATTGTTATTTTTAAAAAAAACAACACACCAACAGTCAAGGGATTAGAGAAGTCCCAGTGGAATTCATCTATTGGGAAAGATTGATGTAGTCCTTTGGTGTGGGTTTTGTCAAGCCTTCCTCTTGCCCTATTGTCCATTTAAGGGCTATCTTTTCTAATGTGCTTTTAACAGCCTCCTGAGACACTTACATTATACAGGCAGACTTTTCCATACAATTGTATCTTCAGGCCAGGAAAACCGCCAGCTGCTTAATCTCTGTGTATTTAGCTGTTCTTAAGAATAATCAGATGAGCAGGAACAGAGAAATGGATAGCAATTGAAGCAGAATTTTAAACTCTGAAGCACATTCTCTGAAATAAAAAGAAAGGTCCACTATTTTTCCGGAAGCTACTTGTCTATAAAGCAGTGTTTCTTAACCTTTGCTGCTGGAAGATGTATGGACTTCAACTCCCAGAATTCCCCAGCCAGCTGTGCTAGCTGGGGAATTCTAGGAGTTGAAGTCCATACATCTTTAGTCTGCCAAAGTTGAGAAACACTGCTATAAAGTATATGCCAGTTTTTCTTCACCATCAAAGAGAGGACACCAAATCTGGCATTTTGTTTGATTTTGATCCTCTCTTGGACTACTGTATAGCACCAGATTTCGGCTAACAAACATTTGGATGACCACAAGATGGCAGCAAGGAACCAGGT